CTGATCCTGAACGCCGACGTCCTTACCGGTAGAGGGCAGCGCACCCCAGCCGCAAGAGGGGCAGGAGGGGCAGGAGGGACCCCGAGCCCGGCGCGCCCACTCACTCTCAGGCTGCTCCCGGACGGGTAGGAAGACGTCCGCGCCCTCCTCCAGGCTGGGCGCCTTCTGGCTCAGCCGCTGGCCCACGGCGCCCTCGTGGCTGTAGAAGCGGTCCCCTGTGAGCTTGTGGTCCAGGGCCAGCCCCGTGGGCTTCATCTTAAAATGCGCATGCAGCCTGTGCCCAGCTTCGTGCAACGCCGCCACCGCTGCTGGCCAGACCAGGGCTGCAGATGGCCCCTTCAAGCCGCTCCACATCCAGGGTGCCCCGGCCTTTGCACCCTTCTTTGGGATCTCTGTGGCCTCTGATAGCACTGCTGGGGGCCTCCTGTTCTGATCCCTCCTCACGACCTCGAGGGCGGAGCCTGCGCATGCAGCCTGTGCCCAGCTTCGTGCAACGCCGCCACCGCTGCTGGCCAGACCAGGGCTGCAGATGGCCCCTTCAAGCCGCTCCACATCCAGGGTGCCCCGGCCTTTGCACCCTTCTTTGGGATCTCTGTGGCCTCTGATAGCACTGCTGGGGGCCTCCTGTTCTGATCCCTCCTCACGACCTCGAGGGCGGAGCCAGGGAGCTGGGCAGAGCCGGGGAGCTGGGCAGAGCAGGGCTCCAACCCAGGCCCCCTCCAAGACCCACCAGCCCTCTCCAGCAAGGGTGCAGTCCTGCACGATGCCCACGGGCCACTCACGCATAGTCCAGCTCCTCGGGGGCAGGGAAGGGTTCCCAGGGCCAGTTGAGGGCACAGTTCAGGAAGATCAGGCAGGCGAGGCCGGACCAGGTGGACATGATGACCACGAACGACACACCAGCGTCATAGACCAGCTGAGGGGACAGGGCAGCCCGTGAGGAGGCCACCGGCCTGTCGTGTGCAGCCGGAGCTCAGCCCCCAGGGCTTGGGGGTCTCTTCTACCCCACCTGCCTCTAAGCCCCCCAAGAAGGATAAAGCGGCCCCCCGAGTGCTGGTGCGGCTGCCACCTTCCCCAGATGTCCTGGAGTCCCCAGACCATCACGGAAAGCTTCTGGTTCATTTTCACACAGAAACGTCACCTCGTCACACATGGACAATGGGGAGGCCCCGGGCTCACCAGGCCCGGCTGTGCTTGCCCTGCCCCTGCCCGGCACCCATCCCCTTGGACAGAGGCAGGCCCAATAACGGCGAAGCTTGGACCCCTTTCCCAGGGCCCCTGGGTGGCTAGGGCCCCAAGACCGTGCCACGAGCCTGCCCCAGCCAGGTGAAGCGGGCACAGGCCGCAGGTGCCCAGGGTGACATGGCCCTGTGTCCTCCCACAGCCTCTGGCCTGGGGTCGGGAAAGCCTTGAGGGCCACACCAGGGAGGACACAGCTCCACCAGACTCCACGCTGCCAAGGCGCCTCTGAGGAAGGGGAGCCAGTGGGGGATGGGACACAGCGGCCCAGGTCAGGAGGAGGAGACGGGGCCCGGCTTCCGGAGCTGAACCCAGGCATCCCCACTGCCCAAGCACCGGGTTGACCTGCACTGACCTGGCAACTTAGGCCATGGCCTCAGCTCCCCAGATGGCAGCAGGACCAGGGCCCATGAGGGTGGGCAGGAACAGCAATGCCCAGCTCCCCACCCAGCCCCCTCAGGAAGTCCATTGAGGCAGGGGGAGGTGGACAAGAAAGTCACAGGAAACCATAGGACAAGCATGGGGAAGGCGGACGGAGCAAGGACGACTCCATGAGAACCTCAGAGCCAACACATGAAGGCTGCTCCGCCTGCATCCAGGCTCCTGAGCACCATGGTTCAGACTCCGAGTCACACCCTCTAAAATCCCTGTGGTCAGCCCCACCGCCACAGGCCACGTCACATCTGGGGCGATCCTACCCACACCCAGAACCCAGGGCCTGCACGGCAGCGACATGAGCTCCCCTCACTGGCCGACTCCCCACTCGTGGGGTAAACCTGCACTCTTTCACTTACTTCTTTTAATCTTTTTTTTTTTTTTTTTTT